TGCCCCACGCACCAGAGGACCACACCAACCAGCAGAGACTGCCGCTGGATCCAAGGGTGGAGATACCTTTTCTCTTATTTCTTCTCTTGCTCTGTCTCTGGCTTTCTCAGCACATATGGGTATGTTAGTTTAAGTTTGTCAACCTGCTGTATTCTGTGGTTTTATGAAACCAGACTTTGTGTTGTTGAAACCTTTTGCCAAGTCAATATCTGTTTCCAACCCCACTGCACTAAAGGTAACATTATGAAGTTAGAGTTATCACCTTCTGTAATTCCACTGCCATTCCAAGTAAAGCTTTGTTTTCAGTCAAGCCTCTTGGTCAGTGTTATGACTCTCAGTGCCACGCAGAGAATTAAAAAGATCACCTTCCCCTGTTCCCGCTGAGCGGGACGGGACACCCAGGCCCATCATCTTCCGGCTGCTCTGTGGTACTGGTTTGCTCCTGCTGTATTCCCGCTCCAGTTACAAGGCACTCGCTCAACAAGATGTGATTAGCACTAACTAGCGATGACAAGGTTAGACTACTTCAGGCATCGCGAAGCATGGGCTACAGCACGCTCATTACGACTGACAGAGACCTGTGAGCGTCAGAACGCTTCTTACCCTGAGACAATTAAGTGTCCACAGTGACAATCAAACTTACCTTGATAATGAATTCTGGGAATTTTTAGTTCCTTCAGGAGTACAAAGCCTTGCCAGATTGTGCTTCTACGAGAGAATGATGACCTTTGCTCACATTTGTGAGGTCAAAGCACGCGTCCCAAACATATATAAAATGTACCTTCCTTAGGGTGCTAAAATATGTATGCAAAAAAATCACAAAATAAAGCCAATTCATTTTACTAACTAAACCTCAAATTTTTGTCATTTATTAGATCAGAACTTGAGTATTTTCCACACACAACATATTCATTTGTACTTAAGCCTCTGGCTCTTGGTTTATAAAATCTGTTTATCTAGGGGAGTCTGCAAAAATTTCAGAAGTCCATTAGCTATACTTGCTTAAAGACTTGCAAGGGAAGAAAAAAAAAAACAAACCAAACCAAACAAAACAAATAACTACATTCTTTTTCCCTTCTGAGTAGAATTTAATTACTTACCTATACTGAAGGTATACAGACTCATTTACAGCTATTTCACCTGTAATTATAGCTGAGTAACAACAAATGTGAGTTATTGATAATCGTTCGTGATATGATAAAACCCCACTGGACAAGGAGGGTTCCTACATTATCTTGTCAACACTGAATACATTCAGATTTCTTTGAAAAAACCCCCCCCCCCCCCCCCCAACCTTCAACGCATGCTTTCTATTTTAAAAGAGAAATGAATAGGACAAACATAGCAACAACCATTTGATGTATTACAGATTGAAAAGTCAAACAAACCAAGAACTGTGCAGTTTAACAGTTGCATTATTTTATTAATACAACCATAGGAAGCTAAATGCTTCTGCTTAGCTAAACCGACTTCCTTGCAGAAGTCCACACGCTTCCAGTCAGGCGAGTTTCAGGACTTCTTGTACCATTGTTCCAATCCCATCAAAGATTTCATGCAGAGGAGCCTTGCACATGAAAGCACAAGTAGTAACTATTTTATTGGCTTTATCCACGTGGGATTCATTTACATTTTTGCAAATGTGCTTACATCCAAGCTCTGTTATAGCAGATGCCGTTTCAGCATCAGGAAATCTGTAAATATAAAGACTGCAATTAACATAAAGAGGTGACACAGCCATAAAGTTCTGCCAACACAACTTGAATGAGAGAACTACAATAATATTCAGGTGACTCTTTAGCTGATGACGACAAAGGAGTCAGACTGCCACTGTCAGGTTCTCCCATCCCCTATGGACACAAGTGATCTACTTTCTTTGCAAGCGACATCTGAAATGCAGAGCCACAGCATGTCAGTCAGCACAATTCCATTTTTAACAATCTTTCTGTAAGTTTCTAAGATGATACCAAGTGCAGCCACAACTGATTCTCAAAAGTTTGAGTGATGCCAGCTGAACCTGCAGACAGGTTGGACCTTTTCCAACACCTCCAGGCAAGGTCTTCCACTGGGATTCTGCAGAAGTTTTTTTTTTTCCTAAGTGAGGAACAAAGGCAATCCTTCGCTGCTATAAAATTCCATTCAGAAGCTTTATTGGGAGTTGACAGTTCTTGAAACAGCACTGACTTCTGCTGGGCACTGCTCTCATCCGCCTCCCGTAAAGTGGCCCCAAACCACTACCACCAGAAAATCATTATTTAAAAATCCCTGAGCAGACAAAAGCCCACAGACGCAATTTAAACAGCCACTCAAACTACCACAGGGTACCAAGTTTCCGAACGCCAGGCGGCCAGATGCCCGTTCTTCATTTGCACATCTGCAGTATGAATCATGGCCTTCTAAGGCGCCGGGTAAGCAAATTCTGTATCCCACTTCATACAAAAATCTGTCGCTCAGTTACTGTGAATTGAACGTGAAAAAAGAACTTGGTACCCTTGGTCACCTGCGTGTCCGTGCAGCCATCATTCTATAAAAGTCGCTTTGTTCTGTCGCTTCTGAGACTGACAGATGCTACATCCCGAAACTCATTAGCACCCACACCGCACAGGAAAGCCAGCACACGAGCCTCTGTTACCAGCGGTGGCTCACAGACCGATGGCTCAGGCAAGAGATAAGGCTAACTAGAGTCTTCAGACTACTAACTGTAACGTGTCTGTGGATGCTGGTGTCATAGAACCAACCATCACAGACCAACATACTTCCGAATTTCGGGATGCATTTTCCCAACACTGCAGCGCACAGGTCACCTGACCTCACATTCAGTCTGTCTGCTCTCAGAGTTCTGCATCGACTACTATTATGCCAGCAAAAATTTGACATAAGTGAAAATGTCACTAATAAGGTACCCAAGGGTTACTGTGGCACCAGAGACCTCAGACTTTTGCACAGAAGAATGGTCATTGCCTAATCCTGATTCCCGTGTAAATCATCTCCGTTCATTTCCCTCTTACCTTCCATCCACGTTTTTATCTTGGCCAACCGTGACCTCACAACCAGGAAAGACTTTCGCTGCCAGGACTGGCGATATACAGCACAAACCAATGGGCTTTTTAGCACTGTGGAAAGCTTGGAGCGTGGAGTTCACGTGCTCATTGACAGTACAGTTCTTGCCATCTACAGCCCAGGAACACAGGTTCTTTGCTACACCAAAACCACCTAAAAAAAAAAACAAAAACAAAACCACGAAAAGCTCAAATATAAAACACTGCTGAAAGCCATTAAATTCAATGCCAGGAAGAAGTTCTCCTTTTTTTACAGCATAATCATGGCATACGTGGGACTGTTAAGTTACTACACTGAAAGAGTTCAGCACGTGAAAACACGATGGGTTTCCAATATCAAAAGTTTAACTGCACTTTTTTATATACCATGTATGTTACATAGGCCAGAAAGCCTAATCTTGCTCCAGTGAGCAATAAATAGACAAACAGGAAACCTCACATTCATTTGCTAGTCACTGGAAAAGCCACACCATCTGATACGCACTCCTCAGTAAGCAAGAGAGGGATGAGAGAAAGACCACTGGTAGTTAAAAGAAGAAGAGTAATGCAAACAGCGATTTGACCCTCTACAGTAATTCACATTCCAGTTTTACTTCAATACTGACGCAATTACAAAACAGCTTTCCCCTAGCCCCACCCCCCCAGAATTATTTTTGAACTTACAAAGGTTAAGACAATGAAAACAAAATGGGTATTACATAAAAAGGCAACGATAATATACTGTATTTAAAATTTGCTTTCTAGAAATGAGTTATAATGATCCTTTACTTGCATTTAGTCTTCATTTAATTGTATAAGCAGATTGTATTTTACAGCACCTTCATTTTCTGGATTCATAAGCATCGGAATGACCAAAGTAAGAAGGCAAGTGTAACCATCCATTATATTAGATTCCTTATGGAATGTGCACAACACCAACTTTTCCACAATAAACAAACGGAAATTTCCACAAGTATTTCAAGGAACCATATCAAGAAGCTTTACATTTTTAATGTTTTTCCTTTCACTCTTTGCTCACTTTCGAGTGTTATCTGAAATCTCTGAGGTAAGATTTTAATTTTCAAACTTAATAGGGTTTATTTCCCTCTAACAGTTATTACAGCAACCCTCCCGAGCCTGAGTTATAACAGCATGAAATTAACAAGGAAAATACTTGCTAGCCTCCACTCCCTGATCAGCCCTGATGTCACCCACTCATTTTAGCGCCGGCAATCCGTTTCTCTGCCTTACACACACACTCCCTCTGCTGGCCTTACAACAGAAGACAGCATAACGACTTCAAAATTGAACACTTGGGCCACAGTTGGGAAGGCAGTATTTAACTGTACTATGAATATTCTGCAAAGTGATCTTCAGCAAGTCAGAATTTCCTCGTGACGCTTTGGTTTCTTCATTTCTAAAGTGATTACAATTACCCCCCGCCTGAAAGGCAATTTTGTGGTCTATAAATAAAAACTTACCCATAAACATGTTTAGCATAACATAATCAGCAGCAGACCAGATACATAATTAAAACAAAATGTATTCACATCTGACACGGAATATAATCTACTTGGCAACCTACTATTCGCCAACAATTTCAGAGGCCCTAAAAATAAGACAATGCCATGTAACGTCAAGTTCTGGCCTTACTTTCCTACTCTGGTCAGTGTTTTTGTCTGCAAGTAAGTACTAAAGTTTGCCCAATCTTTAGGAAGAAACACCGGTGTGATGTATAACCTAACACCAAAAGAACACTCCGGCATGTTCAATTAATAACTATAAATTAATAAATAAACTGAGATGACTTGTCAGCCCATGAGAGGTTGCTAAAACACCTTCTCAAAATAAAGTAAAAAGAAAGAAAAAACCCACCTATATTTCAAATTCAGGAGTATAATATATTCTTTAAATGGATTTAAAAGTAAAAAAGTAGCAGAGGCAAAGCAGTTATTTGCCATTGAAAAAACACAATTGATTTTCTTTTAAAAGCACCTACCAGGGAAGATGACAGCATCAAATTCACTAGCTTTCAGTTCAGCCAAATCCTGAATGTTTCCTCTTGCCAATCTGGCACTTTCAACTAACACATTTCTCTTCTCTTCTGCTGGACTTCCTTTTAGGTGATTGACTACATCCCTTTGCTCAATATTGGGGGCAAATATCTTCACCTAGAATACAGAGATGAAGCAATTCTGTGACTAAACAGAACTCATATATAGAATCATAGAATGCTTTGGGTTGGAAGGGACCTTTAGTGGCCATCTAGCCCACCCCTCCTGCAGTGAGCAGGGACATCTTTGACCAGACCAGGTTGCTCAGAGCCCTGTCATATCGGTGACAATGAAGATCTTTTAATTAAAACAGTCGTTGTTCCTGAAGTCTCTTATCCAAGAGAAGGGGATTCCACAGGATGGATCCATCGCATCAAATCTCTGAAGTGACAGATGACATGTTAGGTTGGTTAAACCCAGCCACTCTCCCCATCTGATTCCTGCAGCTTTTTTGACAGAAGCACAGTCTCACGCCAACATTAAGCTTACTGATTTTGCCAGGGCCTGCCGACAACTCCTCTGCAGGTAACCTCAAGGACCAACGGAGCAGCACCACTTACACCAGCAGCCTGACTAGGCAGGCACACAGCCGAGCCTGCAGACAGGCTGCTCTTCACTGTTACGGGATCGGGGTGCTAAAACATGTTTAAAAAAGTAAGTTTAAAAGATAGAGATGCAGCCTCTACAAGCATTTCTAGGACAGACATTAGAGGCACTCTAATGTAAGGTAAGGAGAGAGGTTACGGCTGAAGAGGCTTCGCGGCGCGCAGCGGCGGGGAAAAGACCGCCATGAGGCGGGAGAGGGCCTTATCCCTCCCCGGGCCCCGGCACA